ATGGTAATGGCTTACATCTTGTTTACATCATTGTCCTCCTGCCATTATGTTTCCTGTTAATTACTAAAAGGGTGTTTTAAGAAAACATCTACACAATGTTTATCATCCCTTCAAAAAGATGCGAAATACAAATTTTTATTTTTAATTTTTTCAGTTAACCTAGGCATCTATAGTGTTCATTCATACAGCACATTCACTTACCCTTTTCAGTAAATCTGCGTATCAGCAGTCAGTGAAGAATCTATGTCAACCTGTTTATGTTTTTTTCCACAATTTGCTATTCACAGGATGCTGCAAATCACAGCGTAAGCTCTTGCAATTACCTTTCCAAAAATTCTTTGGTTATTTTCGATCTCTTGCTTTTCAGCCATATTTTTGTCCATCTGTTCATCTTTAGACAGATGTAACTCCTCAGGAAGAACAACAAAACTCTCAGTCACTGGCACTAACACTCAGGTTTCCACTATTTCTTAAGAGTGGCCTGAAATGATAAATCCATTCTTTGCCTTTGTTAAGACCTGCAATACACAACACACATGAAATCTAGATGTGGAAAACCCTCTGTATAAGGCAGGCTTGCCAAAGGTAAGTATACCATCTCACATAATACAATCCTCATGTACATCTACCAAGTCTTGTATCATTGGCACAGTTTGATCATTTGGATCCTGCTACATCTACTTTCCAGAAGAAAGGAAAAGAGTCAGTTAGAAGCCCTAGAGGAAAATTAGTCTGTTGACTTGTCAAGCTTGCATGTACTACAGAAGAAGAGTCTTAAAGCAGAGCTCTGAAGTTTGCAAAAATATTTCAAAATCTTTCATACTCTCATCTGAACCCAACTCCATTTCAGTTTACACATACATTTACTTAATAAGAGCTATTTTCTAGCAACTTTTTTTTAAATAATAATAATAATAATCTTTCAAAAGGCAGCAAACTAGAAATAGCATACTTTTTACATAATACTGAGATCAATAGTATTTAAAGTAGCTAGAAAGTACACTAACATGAGTAGTAGTAGTTTTACAATGGCTTGTTTAAAATACCTGGAGGCTTTTACATATCCCAAAGGCATTTCTCATTTGCACAGTAAAGGTAATTTTTTGTTTATATCTGAATATTAAATTGGGAATATAGTTACAGTTATCCAGCAAGAACTGCAAAGACTGCTGAAAAGTATCATATCATTGGTGTATTACAGAAATTAGCAGCATAGCCATAAAAAAGTAGAAACTGAATTTTTACGATTTTAGGGCAGGAGAACCTCTATTTTGGGGCCATGAAAGCATTTGAAAATAACAGACAAATTAACAGCAAGGTACTAGTAATTTCCCCCATGTTCCTCAAATTATATATTTTATATTTTCCTGGTTTGTTTGGACAAAGATATTTTCTAATGCTATAAATACAAATTACCTTACTGTAAAGCTAGTATTGACCACTCAATTCCTCCTAATAAGTATCTTCTTTTCTTCATCACACATCTACAGTGTAAGTTGTAATGTTCTACCTGAACATTTTGTCCTGAATCTTTTTATTCTTGCCACTGTAATCTTGTGAAGAAAGCCTAGGAGGGTATACATGCCTGTGCTTTCTTAGATTCTGTCTGCTTCCATTACTTATCTGGCTTATATGACCTCAGGCAGTCTCAACAATTTGGTGGGGAATGGAAGGTTCTCATGGAATTTTTAGTGGAAAGAGCACACTGAAAAATGAAGCTATGCAAACACGGGTGGTTATCATGTCACAAGAAACAAAAAATGTTTAAATCCATCCCATTCTGTTCGTTTCTATCGTAGAATCTCACAATAAGCCTGAGTAAGACAGAAAAATTTCTGAACTTGAATATGACTGGATCTCTGTTGTTTCTAATATAGATGAAACAACAAAAAAAAAATCTGTAAGACTTAAATAGCTTTCAGATTTTAGTGTAAATTTTCAATTTCCAGCTCATCTGAATCTCTGTATAATATAGCAAAAAGGACTACAAGCAGCACAGATCCTCCCAAGTGACACAAATCATCTTGCTTATAATAGTTATTTGATCATCCCATTTTTTATACTCTTTAAACCCATGTATTTTTCTCAAAGCCAGAAAATCTATTGTCCTGTAATTTTTTGGACAATAGCAGTGGTAGATAGCACATTTCCTTTAAAGGCAATCAATGTATTAAAAAAACATATTATCTACTCCTTTAAGGTAGGGACATTTTATCTACTCCTTTAAGGTAAGGAATAAGACAAAGACTTTTCTGAAAGGATGAGAGTTGGAAGAGGTACAGTCATGAAACTGAAGCTACTGAGGAAATCATTAGGGAGAGTAGTAACAGGAAAAGTTAGGATGGAATTTATGGGGCTGTAATTTGGTTGTGCAGAAGGTTCACGGGTAAAGCTGGGCTAGAAACTATTTCCAAAGTGGCAGTAAGACCATTCTCAGCAAAAGAGCTGAAGCTATATCAATTAAAGAGAAAAATACACGCTATTGCTCCATCTGTCAAATCAAAGCAACCCCAAAGTTCAAAGTTGTGATTAATAAACTCCTATATACGGAATGGGTTTTATCCACACTTATTCCCGGATTCTCAGGAGTAATGATAACACCTAAAAAGATGCTGTTGAAGCAATTTCTTAATTCCATTATTCAGAGAAGCACGGAAAAGCTGTGATATACATGTATAGCCTTGAGTTCAAAAAGGTTCTAAAGCATTAATGTAATTCTAAAGAGTAGACAACATAAAAAAAATTAGACAAGCACATTAAAAGAAGTATGTTGGCAGGGTTTCACATAGCAATCACCAGCATCTGTACAGTGCAAAACACATACAAAAAATTTCATCTTATTATTCTGTTTTTGTGCATTAAGGTGGTATATAAGAGTGCCATATTCATAGTATCAATAAGGATAATACACAAAATTACCAATTTCTGTTCTAAATAAAGCATAAAATAATTCATTTGTTGACCATTATTTAAATGTAAGCTTTTTAACATCTCTCTGCTTCCATTCATCCTAACATCCTGATTATTTTTATATGCAACATAAATAAAAAATGTTAATAAGCCTGAACACCTGCCTCTGCCTTCTTAAGCTTCAGATAGAAGAACTATAATTTTCCATATTGTTTCGCTATCTATAAAATGTGGTTAGGACAAAAAAATTTTAAATGTTTCAACATAAATGAAGGATACTATGAATTTGTTTATCAGTCTTCATCATATATTAGAATTATTTCTAAAATCAAACTTGAAAACAATAGTAAGAACAGTATACTGTCTAAACAGCGAAGCTACTACTCTGTGCAATTAAGTGTCCCAGTACAAAACCAGCAGTTATTTGATATCATCACTGGCAACCATATGTGAGCTCCCAGTAACAGCTGTCTTTAAAATAAGCTGCTTGTCCTTACAGCATCTTACTCATTAACTGGACTACCATCACTGTCTTCCTCTGGATATGAATCATTTAGAGTATTACCTCTAGTTCCATGATCACACTGCATTTTTTGGATAAAAATCTTCATTGCTTTATGCAAGGTAGAACAGAGGAAAACATTATAAAAATGGTGAGAGAGAGGGGATTTCATCAATACATATAAATATCTCAAAGGTGGGTGTCAGGAGGGTGCCTCAACATGAGGCAGAACTTCTTTACGCTGACGGTGGCAGGGCACTGGAACAGATTGCCTAGGCAGTTTGTAAGGTCTCTATCTCTGGAGACACTCAAAAGCCACCTGGACACATACCTGTATAACCTGCTGTAGGTGACTCTGCCTTGGCAGAGAGGCTCCACAAGATGATCTCCCAGGGTCCCTCCTAACCCTAACAATATCATGATTCTGTGAAATGCACTCCCAGCTAAAGAATTTAACACTGTATTTTCACAAATGAAAAGAACGTGTACAGAAGAACTCCAGGAAGGAAAGAGGTGAACAACAAAACATGCCTTCTAAGTTCAAAGCACTCAATGGGAACCCAAAGGAGCCAGGACCTCTTAGGAATCTGTAACAAGCTTCCCAAGTAAAATTGGCAGGCCATTTAAAAAAGTTTAAATCCATTCTTTTTCTCTTTTTTAAAAAAATCCCCTTTTTTATTTTAAGGAACTCATGATATTTTAAGATAATTAAGTGTTTCAATTCTGACAGCCAACTCATTCACATTCTCCTTATCTTTTGCCTACAAAAATATCTGAATTCATAAATATTAGCATTCCAAAACAATCAACTGCATCCTGCGATAATCAACTAATACTTATAGTAATCAGATAATAATAAGTACCATGAAGAAATCATCACCATTACTATTCTCAGAAGAATAAACTGCAGAAGATCCCACTTGTCTGTGTTAATGGAGATAGAAGCTCTTACAGTCAGGGACAGCTTCTCCCCCCAGAGTGTAATTGGGCACTGGAACAGGTTTCCCAGGCAAGTGATCACGGCACCAGCCTGAGAGAGTCCAAGAAGCACTTGGACAATGCTCTCAGGCACATGGTGTGATTCTTGGTGTGTCCTGCACAGAGCAAGGGGTAGGACTCAGTGATTCCAACTTCTTCCAATGCAGCATGTTCTATAATCCTATAATAGTTACATCTTCTATTATCAAGTCTTAGCTTTTCACTTCCTCTAAAATTCAGATAAACATAACTTATATATAACTGTTACCTAACAGCTTATGACACTGGAAAATTACCAGTCGTTTTCCTCCTCCTGCTCCTTCAAAATGAAAACAAAATATGGCAAGACATTTATAATTTCAAAATGGTATTCAACTGCAGCACAGCAATCTCAGTGAGAACATATTTTAAAGTATGCTTCAACTAGCACCACAAAAGAGAAAATATGCAATGTATTCTAGGCATTCTTGACAAAATTTAACAGTTAAATTTTTTCAACACATTTTTAGAACTCTACATAGTTTTCAATTAGAAAGATAAAGAATATGGTATCAGCAGGGCAGGTTGGTTGCTTTTTGGTTTCAGTAGCATGTTAAATCTTCAAACTCACCTTTCCACAACCAAGCTGACAGCTTGAGTAAGATCTGATTTTGACACCTGGAGATGTTTCCAAAGAGACCACACAAATTCTTTATCAGCCTTAGAAATAGGAGAAAAAAAAACAAAACAAAACAAAACAAAACAAAACAAACAAACAAAAAAACCAAACATTACATGTATAATGCCTTTTACAGGTAAAAAAAAAAAGTAAAGTTATACTGAGCATATTCAAAACACAATTACCAAGAAAGCCCTAATCTAGTGAGAATTCCCTGCAAGTTACTCACTGTTCCATGAAAATACAGCCAATGGTTCTCTTGAATAAACAAAGTTTTAACAATACAAAATTCTGAAGTAAAATAAACACCTAGAGTCAACATCAAAATAGTATGCAAAGTAACATATGGCAGCAGAAATTACATTATTCTAACAAGACTGCCTTTTGCTATATCTATTTCTGTTACTGACGCAATTTCTATTAGAATACTAAGCCTAGAATACCTGCTTCAACATTAAGTTTTACCACATGCAGCTCTTTATTTCAAAAAATAAAGTAAACAGTCTTCTAACACTCAGGCATCTAACCTGCATTATACAGAATTTTCTGAAAAACTTAAGTGAGCAAGAAAACAATGTTGTTTACAAATAAAGTTTGTGAAAACTAGATGTCAGGTAAAAGCTTTCTCACATTTGTAATTTCTACTACACATTCATTGTTATTTTTTGCTGGTGTTGTCTTATTTCAATAAGATTTTATTACTGGAAGCACCAATATTAGTTATTTTACAATCTAAACCCACGTATTGATTATATAAAAATGTTAGGGGAGAAAAATAAAATCCAGCTAAAGATGAAGACTGGTAAGACAATATGTGTACATAAACCATAGTCCAGACTAGGATGAGACCTACTGAAACAGTCTAACATAAAATTAGGAACTAATAAACTAAATCCATAGTATATGGGCAGATAGGCCTATTCAACAGGCAAAAATAATTAGAGTGCAGCTATGACTACTAGTGTTTTGGAAATTGAGAATCATTTAGACTGGAAAAGACATTTATGATCAAGGCATGCAACCAGTAACCTAACATTGTTACAGCCACCACTAATCCATACATGCCACATATACATGGTTTTTAAATACTGCCAGGGATGGCAACACCCCCACTTCTCTAAGTAGCCTGTTCCAGTGCCTGACAAGAAATTCTTTCTAATGTCAAATTTAAATGTTAAAAACCAAATTGCCAAAAAGATCTTGTAATTCACGACCATCATCAGTTTGTGAAAAATGCACTATACCATAAAGAATTCATATTTCTTAACAGCACAAAAATTTCAACTGTCTTTAATGGGTTGTGCACAGCTTTTAAAATGCTGACTGTTTCTCAAGTTTCCAAACAAAATCAAACAATTACCAAAAAACGTTGTGCAAAAAGAAAAGAGGAACAAGATGTTACTAAAACACTTGGAAAATTCACAGTCCTCCTCTAATCAAATTAGGTTACTAGTGTAAGCATTCTTTTCAAAACCAAACGTGACCCTGCTGCATGCAAACAGTAACTAACTGGATTATGGTGCACTACATTAATTTTTAAAGAAAGGTAACACAAAACCTGAACTGCACACCAGATAATTAGTAACTCAAATGACTTTGCATAAGTATCCAAGTCTTTGCTCAGTACAAGTGCTAAAACTATGTTAACTTTCAGATCAGAATTAAGCTAAAATATAAACACTAAGCACCATATTAATTGGGTTACTAAGTAAAAAAAAAAATGTACAACCTCTAATTTCATGCTATCACCTTACATATTTAGTATACTGAACTTCTATGTATCAGTGGGAAAGACTATTTAAACAAGTGCACTTTTTTCATGTTCTCAGAACAAAAGACACCATCTCCCAAAAATGTCTTGCCAGGCCACCTGAAGAGTTACAATGTGTGTAGACTGTGAACCAGGCATGACCCACTGCTTCTTCTCAGGCAAAACAGAACTAAAAATAAAAATGTTTTTCAGATTTGGACAACCTGCTGCAGCTTCCAAAATGCCTTAGGATCTATACAGAAGCCAGTTGTAATTATAACATCTAAAAAAAAAACCTTGTGCTTATGTTGTTAAATTGAGGAGGGGGGATTCGCAAACAAACAAAACACATGAAAAATGAGACACAAAGCCAGACTAAACCTCTCTAAACAAAATGTGATTTTGTTTTAATTATTTCAAAAGACATTAAATTAGTAGTCTTTCCAGCCTAAATGACACTACTTTCACAGAATCAATTAGGCTGGAAACAACCTCTGAGATCAAGTCCAACCTATGACCAAACACCACCACATCAGCTGGTCCATGGCACTAAATGCCACACCCAGTCTTTCCTTTGACTCCACCACCTCCTTAGACAGCCCATTCCACTGCCCAATCACTCTTTCTGTGAAGAATTTCTTCCTATGTCCAACCTACACCTCTCGTGGCACAACTTAAGCCTGTGTCATCTTGTCCTGTCACTCGCTGCCTGTGAGAAGAGACTGATCCCCAGCTGGCTACAGCATCCTTTCAAGGCATAGACAGTGACAAGGTCACCCCTCAGTCTCCTTTCCTGCAGGCTTAACAAGCCCAGCTCCTTCAGCCACTCCCCTAAGGACTTGCATTCTAGACCCTTCACCAGCCTTGCTCCCTTTCAGTATGTCCAAGATAAAAAAAAAAAAAAAAATGTTTTCCAATTACCATCTGAGTAGGAGTTGCCTTGGGGCAGTTTTTCTTATCTGCTGTTAATGGCCCCATCAATGCCTGGCCACATGACTCAGAGATAACACTGTCCAGGAGGAGGAGCTGATTAAGGACACACCTTGTGACTCATAATAACCCATTGTAAGATGCTCTGCCCAAGGGGAGGAGCTAGGCATTCCCACCTGGATAAAAGTGGAGATTTCTACACAGAGGGGAGCCTTTTCACAGGTTCTCCGAGAAAACACAGCAACTACATCTGCCATCCCAAGAGGACTGCAGCCACTCCAATTCAGACTGCTACCAGCATGCTGGCCAGGTTGTATTCTGACTTTGTCAGTAGCCTTTCCCTTTGTATTATTGCATGTATTTTTGTCCTTTTTCCCCTTTTCCCAATAAATTGTATTTCTGACTTGGAGTCTCTCACTGGTTTTACTTTCAAACCAGAACATATTTTTGGCGCGCAACGTGCGGCAAGAAAGTACTGAGAGAAGTCAGAATTACAATCCTGTATTGTAGAGGGTACCTATTCACTATGATGCTTAACATGCTTTTTTGGGTCTTATACTTAGCTGTCTATATTTTCCCGAATGTGGGGAATTATTTGGCAATTGTAATGCTCATGTGTAGACCAGGGTATGGTATGAGAATTGCTTTATTGGTCTACTATGTCTATTGCATTATGACCTCTGAGGAAATGAACATGATTTGGAATATGTACTCAATTCTGTTTGCTTGTCCCAATCTAGGCTGCTGGTCTGGGGCCTCAGCAACCTCACCCAGCCCCTGGGGGGAGGGGTAAAGATTGATGTTTTCAAACCTTTCAGGCTTGACACAGCAGTTTTTGAAAATGTTAAGTTCCCTCTGGATGCCAAGGACAACATTATGTTGTTGTTAGTTCTTCTTTGTCTTCTCTGCACAATCTGCAACATGCTTAGAAACAAAACACTACATAGTGTGGTGCAGCGTCTTCTTGAGGAAGAGGAAACAAGAAGCAAAGCAGCAGTGTCCGTGCCTGTACAGAATACCACAACAGCATCCATGTCAACGCAGGCTGCCATAGAGAAAGAAGGAACCAAAAGGAAAACAACAGTGTCCGTGTCTACGCAGACTGTCATGGAGGAAAAAACAAAAAGCAAAGCAAAAGTGTCTATGTCTACACAGACCGGCACAGAGAAGGAAGGAATCGAAAGCGCCATCAGCATCTCCACACAAACCATCACGAAACCAGAGCAGCCTGAACCCATAGTAGTTGCCCCTGTTCAGAAGAAGAAATCGAGGAGCAAATCAGTCCGCATAGTGACTGATGAGGACACTGCAGGACCCTCGCATCCAGCGGAAGAAACGGAACCAGAGATCATCACTCGTTCTCTATCCCTGGGTGAGCTACGTGACCTGCGGAGAGAATTCACCCGCCAGACAAATGAGTCCATCCTGACCTGGCTTCTCTGCATCTGGGACGCTGCAGCCAATGACACTATTCTGGATAGAAGTGAGGCCAGACAACTGGGATCACTATCCCGGGATGTGGTCATTGACCAGGGGATTGGGAGAACCCAGGAAACTCTCAGCCTCTGGCGG